GCAACCAGAAACTAAATCAACCATCTACGATAATTCTGGAGTCTACAAAATAAATTGTAATGACTGCACGAAATACTATATTGGTTACCATGAATGAAAGTTGAAAGATGAGTATAAAATGGATGCCTAGTGTAGCTTTGTGTTTGTGGGTCAATATCACACGTGTCTTTTGCCAGGACCATTGAAATCCCAATGATCAAGGACAGCTTGCATTTTATTCCAGTCCTGTTTCAAACTATGTTTTTCGACTCAGGACGACCTGCTGATTACCAGGTGAGAGCTGTATTCACTCATATCATTACGTTATTTCATTACGATTATCAGATTACCACTCAGTTATTATACCTAGAGATCGGAATGAATATTATTAGTATTTTAAAACGTTTTATTCTTGAACTTCCAATCTTTTCCCCTTGTTCTATTCTATACGTTGTTAATTTTATAGGTTTGAAACAAAATGTTGCATTAACCTATGTTTTTGTAAGGGTATAAATACAGAAGCTAATTAATATAGGAAAATGTATTTTAATATTAAATCATTCACAGCCTTTGTAAATTAATTGATTGCAGTATTTTAAAACATTTATTTCTTGAACTTCCAATCTTTCTCCCATGTTCTATTCTATACATTGTTAATTTTATACTGGTAGGTTTGAAAGAATATGTTGCATTAACCTATATTTTTGTAAGGGTATAACCACAGAAGCGAATTAATATAGGATGTGTTTTAATATTAAATCGGTATGCGTTAGATTTACACCGAAGTTTACTATCGGAGTACCCGCAACACAAATAGTACTACATTTTCGTCATGACTTTCCTCTGTGGCACCAAAAAACCAGACCGTATTTGGGCTATTTGGAATTAATTTGATAAATTATAGAGAATTTATTTTGCTAAAGTTCTCTCGTGGTTTGAGAACTATCCCAGTCGTATCTTAGAAATCGTGACCCGTTAAATCATACTTAATGCGAAATCAAAACCGTTCTTACCAGAAGAGCAAATGAAACTATATGTTTTAATTTTTTTTAAAAGTTTCAACAATCTTAAATTAGTTAACCAGTGAAATTTTTACCCACTCTATATGTTATCGCATATCAATCCCAAGAATAATAACTACCCAGTGAAATTAGTTACCCAATCTTTTCTTTTTAAGACAATGATTTTTCCTTGCCGTTTTACGAAAGAACAACCTTTAATTTAAACATATTTATAATAACTTGCACAATGAGTACAACAACACCAGATTAAAACAATTTCGAAAACATTCAATGAGAGAAGTCACATTGCAGATCTTTGATTAAATCAAACTGTGTCGGGCGACAAAAACTTTTCTGCTTTGTCCCTTTAGGCTTAACACTTTGCCTCTCAGCTGATTTCGGGGTGATGCAAACTTTTAGAAATGGCTTCGGCGATTTAAGGAATTCTCAGATTTTATAACTGTGTAGTTTTTTACGCGGTAACATTTGGTGCAATGTTAGGCACTAAGATTTAATAAGAGAGAAAACTTTTGGATGTTTTGGTGACTTTATTAATTGATAAATCATGTATTTGATAAGGCAAATAAAATATTCGTACATGTTTGTTTTTGTATTTAAAAATAACAAAACTTTACAGATATAATTTAGTTTCATAAAAAATATATTAATGGGCCAGAATGTATCTTAAATACCTTTTTTTGTCAGCTCGTGTGCATCGCAGGAAAAATACACGCATACTGTTAGAAAGACATTTGCATGTAGATTTGCAGAATACCTTTATAAACTAAAAGGTTCAAAAATAAGCACAAAAAGTCAATTGAAAAATTTAAAAACTAACATGGGCCTTATAGGTTGTAATGCTGGTGACAAAATATAAACAGAAAATAAAAAAAAATTAAAAAAATTCCAATCACATGTTATTTTTACAGCGTTTGGTGAAATATGAGTATTATATAGACCTTATTATAATTGATGGTATATATACAGGGTGTTTCAGAAATCGTGTCTGATATTGTAGGGAATTATTCCTGGGTAAGAAAAATATCCAAATATCATATTTAAATTGTTCGGAAGTCCTTACTTACTCACACAGCCGCTATTTTGTTTTTTTCACTTATTAATTGTTTTCTAAAAAGTGGTAAAATATATGAAATTGAAACTTTGCACGAACATTTATGAAAACTAAAAAAAAAAAACTACAACAAAATTATGAAAATTTGTAAAATACATAACTTCATACTGTAGTTGTTTTTCTAAACCACTTTCAGCTAATCAATAAAAGGTTACAGTACCTGCAGACTGCCTAGTGGAGTTTGTTAATCCTGTAGGATTACGCGTGTTTCGGCAAATATATTACCATCTTCAGATCTTTAACTTGAAACTTAAAATATTGATTCTTCGACACATATGGTATTTAAATCGATCACATAACAAACGAACATTTAACATATGTAGTCATACTATTAAAACACCGAACAGGATACACGATGCAAGCACCTCTCGTGCCGATTCTCGACTGAACATTGTTTATTCAATGTAGTCAGTTTCTCCTTTTTTACTCTCAGTTTTACACTCACAATTAAAGTGTACTAAACTCATAAGCTGTCAATCGATTTGTAATTAAATTCCTTAAAAAAGTAATTCTTGTAAAATGTTTGTAAAATCTACCGTTTTTGAGTTATTTAAGAAAAGAAAAAATTAAATGGCTGCCATTTTTTAATAAATTTGATAAGTTATCATAATTTTGTTGTAGCTTTGTCTAGTTGTCATAAATGGTTGTGCAAAGTTTCAATTTCGTATATTTTACCACTTATTAGAAAACAATCAATAAGTGAAAAAAACCAAAATCGTGCCTGTGTGAGTAAGGACTTCCGGACGGTTTAAATTTTTCTTACCCAGGAATAATACCCTAAAATATCCGAGACGAATTCTGAAAAACATCCTGTATATAGAAACATGCTTGTCTATTATATTAATAGGCAAAACTGTTTCTTTAATAATTTTTTTGCTATTTCGCTTTCGGCTTACGATTATTTATAGTTATATTTCAAGTGCAAAGTTATAAAATGTGTACAGTATGAAATGCAGTGCAAACCCAGTTGGTGTGTGTGCATTAATAATTTTCGTGTTGTCGTATTTTCACCAGCTGTAAAGCAATCATCAGCTAAAATATAAAATCAAAATAATAACATAAACAAAGTATTTATTTCTCAGTGTTGGTGAGTCAGATTTTTCACTGGTTGTGTGTTGTGTGATATGTCCGATTATTATGTACTTACTTTTTTGTTAAGTGAAATAACGATCATTTTACTGAGTTATTTTATTATTAACTTGAGTAACTTTCAAGTATCATATTCTAAAATGCCTCTACGGCGAACATTAGGCCTAACTAACCGGATTGAAAGAAGGAACAGTAGCCATCTCTGAGAGTTAATCAACAAGATTTATTAGACCAATTTTGATAGATAGTTTTGAATGTGCGTTAAGAGAAGTGCCTCAGGAGTTTTGTGTCTCAAACATTGGACTTAGGAGCTTAGAATACAACCCATACTTCATAATATGTAAGTCTTTCATCTTCTCTTTCCCTTACTGTACTAAGTTGTAAGGTTTGTAGCTCGGGTAGACCAATTAATGGAAAATCACATGTAAAGTATGTTTGTCTGGATTCTGTAATCGAAACCACAAAAAGGGGTCAGAAATTTCCGGGACTCACTTTATTGGTTTACTTAAATCTTTTAGAATATTTTCTACAACAGTTCGTTATTAATTTAAACCTGCCTTTTTCCCTAACCTTAGCCCCTTAACATCGTACATTACGAATTGTATGTAGTCCTAGGTTGATATCCAAAACTTATTTACAAGGTTATTTTAAGATTTGTTGACACAATTATAGATCCATAGTATTTTCTTGACTAGTTTTTCACATCTTAAACAAATTAAATCACCACCATTGTAATTACGTTTCAGTATTCCTAAACCATCAACACGATTTCTCTTCATGCATTACTGTATGCATTATGTTGCGGCCGTGAGTTGTAAGTCACAATTCACTAACAAGGATATTTAAAACCTATTATTTATTCATAGTTTTCATTACTTTGAAAGACATTTAACACAGCGGACACTACTGATTAACATTTCAGTTTGTCAAATGAAATTTTCAGAATTAATATTTTATTGAAAACACTAGCCTACCTAACCTTCCTCTGACATTACCTAGTAGGGGAAGTCTTCCTTCGGAACTACTAACAGGACTTTGCTAATATTATTGAATTGTCAGTGTACAATATTCGTAATTTGTTCGCCACCAAGTTAGCCATTCATGCGGTTCTTTTGATGATTCATAGTTATACAGATTATCTTGAGTTGGAATCATTTATAAATAGGATTCTCAGCGATGACCGCTAATCGTCTCTTTTTGGGCCTACTAAACACGTTTCGAAATTATACGCTTGTCATTGCATGTACAACTTGATCGCCGGGTTAGTTACCGTACTTAAGTGATTTTGTCCACAAATTCTCGAATTAAATAATTACAATTTTTACTAAAAATAGCATCCACACCTGACTTGCAGTCTTTCTTGACCGATTCACGAAATTGTACACACTTGTCCGTCCGTATTTCAATGAATTACCGACTTTTAATTACTCATGTATTTTTTTCGTAACGAGTTTTTTTCTGTATTTATCAAGCTGACTTTAATTTCTCAACCTACTAAACTGAATGTTTTGAATTGCACATCCGTCCAGTCCATCCGTTATCAATCCCTTGTTATTAACGCACGCAATTTTTCTCGCGGTGCCGCGATGTGGAAAAGGTCAAATTAAATTTCCCGTTTAACGTGTATATTCTCTACAAATATTCACCACCTTTCTTGACCTACTCACAAAATCGTACACTCGTCCATCCGTAATTCATTGACCGTTATTCATTCAGGCAGTTTTTCGCTCGGTGCCGGGAGGTGGCAGGAGGCTGCGCACTAGCGGCGCCCGGCTATCGACCGACAGTGTGTCCACAGCCGTGGCTATGAGAAGACTCGTGGTGCTCGTCTTGCTGGCCCTCTGCAGACCTTCGCAGCAACATGACAACACCACCGAGCTCTACACCAACTCCTCTGACCACCACAAACCAGAAAAAGATCCGTTGTTCCCGGAGGATCTGTTCACCATGGAGCAACGACGGAACGGAGCCGTCGTGTTCCATATTATCGGGGTGATCTACATGTTCGTCGCACTAGCCGTGGTTTGTGACGAGTTCTTCGTCCCTTCCTTGGATGTAGTCATCGAGAAGCTCGACATCGCCGAGGATGTCGCCGGAGCCACATTCATGGCTGCGGGAGGCTCCGCCCCGGAACTGTTCACTTCGGTGATCGGTGTATTCGTCAGTTTCGACGACGTCGGTATCGGTACTATCGTCGGATCCGCGGTTTTCAACATCCTCTTTGTGATCGGCATGTGCGCTCTGTTTTCTCGTACGGTTCTCACACTCACGTGGTGGCCGCTTTTCCGTGATTGCGCCTTCTACTCGGCCTCGCTTATCATCCTGATCATTTTCTTCCGTGACAACAACATCTATTGGTACGAGGCTGCGGTGTTGTTCTCCATTTATCTGATGTACGTCAGCTTCATGAAGTGGAACCAGCAGGTGGAGCGGTTCGTGAAGAAACACCTGTATAAGAACAGGGTGACCAGAGTACGCAGCACGGACCAACTTATGCCATCGGTGAGTTTGGGGTATTAAATAAACAGCATCAAATTAAAAATACCTTTACTTGCAAGCTTTTCTCTAATACATTAGACCTTCAGCTATTTTGAACTAACCTAATACTATACCTAAACAGTATTATAATTTTCTTTTACAATTTATTCATATTAAATGGATATTACAGATTTTAGGCATTCAGGTAGCTCAATGTAGCTCAATGTCCAAAATAAGAGTACCCTTTCCTCCCAACCTCTAAGGAAATTCTCGCTAAGTAAAGCTCCCAACGCAGTGCCCTCACTTTTCGAGAATTTATTTATAGGTTCCTTAGAATTCCTTGATTAGAAGTTTCCACAAAGTTGAATAGAGTACTGTCTAGGAAGATCAACACTTTAAGCTGGTTAATGTTATATGTTTATACAATTTATTTGTATTTTTATGCCATTTTAGTTCGTCAAGGATTTTGTAAGAGAACGGTTCAAACTATAGCATGTCGGGGTTTTGTTAGGAAATATTAATAAATGGTGATCTCTAGAAACGTCCTCACTTGGAATCGATCCAGTGACCTTCACATTTTTTTCTAAGCACTTACCGGTACATTAAATATTTACATTAAAAAATAGTCTAGCTTCAATAAACGATACGGATACATAATCCATGGTCTTGACTTTTTTAAGAGAATACAGTAAACCGTTTTTGTGTTATATACAATCGCTATACATTATTAGTTAACGTTATTATTACTTAACATTATTAATTAACAGTTTAAACTCGCTCACGTTGAAAACGCACGTTATGAAAAATGAAGTTCAAGGTCAAATGGGTGAAATCTCTCATAAGTTATGTGAAATCCCTACTGTTTTTACACGTCTATTTTACCTAAAATACTGCTTTCCATATTCATATAGCTATTTGCAATGAGATAAACTGATAGATTTTTACAGAATCTATCAAGTCAGTAGCTTAGTTTCCTACTTCATTTATAATTGTTATAGGACACACATTAATTTTAGGTTTATATGTTATTATATGAATGAATCAATTTTCCTAAAACGTGAATTGTAGCTTTACCCCCTAATCACCCACAATATTAATATTTAATTAATTTAATTATAAATCAAAATTTTCTACACAGATTTTGGATCGTATTAGATAAAAAATCTTAACACAACAATCTCTCACTTCCCTTATCCGACCCAAATAATTTTGTCAGACCTTTTATAATATAACTAAGTGTTTGATACAATGCAGTTGTGCAATGTCAATGGTATATTTGGTACACATAAATAGAATGTCTATTTGCAGTATCCAATGTTAATTATATATATATTTGGTTCGCATAAATAGAATGACTATTTGCAGTATACAAAGTCAATGACGCATGGTTCACTTAAATGAAATGTCTATTTACAGGTTATAAAGTCAATTGTACAATTGGTTCACGTAAATGAATTGTCTACTTGCAGTGTCCTAAATCTATGGCATACCTGCTTCAAATAAATGAGAAATCCACTTGCAGTATCCAAAGTCAATGGTAGGCTTACTTCAGGTTCACTTAAATAGAACGTCAATTTGCAGTATTCAACGTCAGTGATACGTTGGGTTCACGTAAACGAAACTAATTGTTTACTTGCAGTATCCAAACCCAATGGTAAATTTGGTTCACGTAAGTGAATTATTTACTTTTAGTATCCAAACGCAATGGTACATTTGGTTCATGTAAATGAATTGTCTACTTGCAGTATCCTAGGTCAATGGTCCATTTGATTCACATAAATAATGGAGTGCCTATTTGCAGTACCCATTCAAAGTCTGCATTGATGTAACGTCTAGTTCACTTAAATAGAGTTGCAGTGTCCAGACTCCAATGGTAGTACTATATTTGGTTCACATAAATGGAATGGCTATTTAAAGTATTTAAAAGCAATTGTGCATCAGCCTAATTCCGGCGACCCTAATTATTAGTTATTAATTTTGTAGTAAATTATGCTCGATGATATTAACCCGATCGTTCTTCCCCTTTTCTATGTACGGTATTTGTAATGTGCTATTTTAGATGATTCGTTGACTAACATATGTTGCGACTCTTGTTTAAATTTTTATTTTTATCTCGCAAATAATGTCATGGTGACCAATCAACCCATAAGACCCATGTTAAATTTCTAAAAGTCTAAATTCACGTAGGGAAAAGCCCTGACATCCAATTCGTTACCATTTCAGATACATACCTTCCCATGGTTAGTTGCTATGAATTTGCTAAATTGCGTGTAGATCGCTTCAGCCGTTCAAGAGGAGTATTTGTAAAACAAAAGCAGGAGTGTAGTACACTATAAGAGCTTCGCTCGCTTCGCTAAATTAAATCACCAATTTAAAAAGAATGGAGACAACTAAACGTTGGTTCATGTTCTTGGTTAAATTAGTAAGTAAAAAAATACAATTTACTTATTCTATGCAATACACTGTTCAATTGATCGGAAAAACTACTTAGGCCTATGAAATGAAAATGCCTTCATCCTTCATCACTTAACTTCTCTTTCATTACAAATTAGCCACTGTATGTTTGCCGAGTATACATTATACATAAGATACGTTAATTATACTGTCACATGATATACCGATATACCTATGTATCTCGGCATATATTATAACCATAGACTAGCTGTATCCCATTACAGGTTTATCATCCTTGAGAATGATTTTAAGGTCTGCTATGTATACATGTGTGTATATGCGATTTTTACTGTTAAATGTTCCGTGGTTGTATTAATTTAAAAACAATTACTACCAAATAAAATGATGGATGTAAACCACTGCATGTCCTTAGGGGTTTAACACAAAAGTAAGATGCACACAGATTTGCATTTTGTTTAGTTGCCTTAGAAAATATATTTCCTTTTTAATCTGTTTGAAAATATAATATACAAGTAGTAATGTGTTTTATGGCAAAATTTTATTTTTTTAGGTATGCAATAACCATCACCTGCATACATAGGGTACGACCCATTGTGGTGGTAATACAAATTGAGAATGAATTTTAGAGACATCACTTTTTAGATTTTAATGCCACAAACCCCACCTCAGGTTTATCGGAGTTACAAGTAAGAAAAATTATAACATAAAATTACCATTACAACATAACTAACAAAATACGGCAGTACAAACAATGTTCTTAATTAATAACATTTGAGATCTTTTTATGGATAAATGATTAATTTTAGTGTATTAGATGTCAGCATCTACCTTACCTGTACAGTTTTACAAATCATACTTTAAAATCCAATACAGTAGACAAATACAGACTTTTTGAAAACGACTTGTAGGAGTGATGATAAGGCATATCACCAAGGTCAGTTTAATTGATAAGTTATATCCGGAGAAACACACAGAAACACAAATTTATGAATGGTTGTATAAATGTAACTAGGAATTTTCAATTCATAGAGCCCCTTCTGAAATCTATATTGTTTAAATAGATTACTTTATTACACTTCATCAAAAACTAAGGTTTCATGGGATTAAAAATCAACAATTGTATTTAGTATTTTCCAATAGGCACCTAGGATTCCAATTACCATTAAAATCACGAGGATGATGATGTTTTCTAAAATTATTTGTCATCACAAAATATTTTCTTCTACAAGCTTCCTTTTCTGCTTCAAACAACCTCCAGAGGCGCTAGTGTCTAAAATTCAATTTTATACCTTATCTTTATACATATTTGGTTGCTGACCAGGTTAATGGATCATAATGGTTGCTATAAGTCACTACCTTAGTTCGGCTCCGTAAATAAGTTCGTGTATTCGACAGAATTTAATAATTTAGATCAGTGCAATCTGTCGGTGGCTTAACTACAACGATTTTGTCAAAGAATTAACCCAATACTAGTACCCTCTGGTGAGATGATCCTGAACATATATTTTCTTGGCTTCATATTTGTACATTACATGGAATGTCTCTGTGTATAGTCAATGGTTGTACGCATCACAGTCTTGGTATTTTACTGAACGTAGCACCAGATGTTTTCCAAGGCTAGTCAATCAATCTTCAGTAAATGGGTGAGTGTCTCTAATAGATTACACCCCGTTTAGCTTCTCGGTCGTCCGTCTCAAGCCCGTCACGTGACTAGCTTAGTACGTCACTATTACCTGATTAGGAAATGAATCTGGCGACCAAGCTTAATACAGAGAAGTATTTATCAACAGACAAATAGTTTTTCTGTGTAAGGATACTTGCTATTTTTGAATATATTTTTTGTCAGAGCGAAATATGTAGTCACTAAATGATGACTTACAATAGATAATTTCCATTGTATGAATATGACGTTGTATGAATTCATTTTAATAAATTATTACCAGTCAAAAAACATTCAAATTCTATTAAACTTTAAACAAACGAGATTCCTTCGAAGAAAATTACTCTATTTCAATTAAGTAAGCTCACTTAGATGGCTCCCTATTTAAAACTATTGAAAGATTACAATATTATCAACTTGAATATGACTGTAATTGACAGAAACCCTATCCTATACCCCCGCCGCAGCAAACCTGCAGATTAAGTGAATTTCCATTTACCTGTATTGGATTTAGAATAAAATCTATTTAAATAACATTAAATTACATTAGGTTGTACATTAGGTTATAGGTTAGGTTACCTATGTTTGCTGCTACTGGGAGGGTAACAAAATGTGTTTTTTAGTAAATTATGAATACTTCTGTATAAAATAAATAAATTTACTAATATTGATAAAAATATATCCATACACAAGCAAATACAACGGTTTAGTTATTATCCATAAGAATAATATGAGAATTTTAAATGTAAAATGTATTCATGTTTCTCCGTAACCAAAAACCGCACTAAACACTCCAATATACTAAATTATTTGTTTTTTAAGCTCTTTTATTGTTGTAAAGAGAAATTGGGAAATTTTATGTTTTGAGGGCCAGAAATGAGAAAAACCAAATTTTACCCGATAAAACCCCCCATAACACCCCATTCCCATAGTCCGATCATGCTGATTT